ACCTTCACCTGGCCCTCGGCCAATGTCACCTCTGGGCCCCGCTAATTGCTACATTTCCGCCTACAAGGCCCATCACATTCGTTCTGTCTACAAGCACCATCGCCTTCTTCACCAACAAACTCATCTCCTCGAACGTGGAAATTCATCAGGCCATTCTTCCTCATCCAATGTTCATCGGGAGCCATCGCTGGTGGGGTAATCGGAGGGCTTGCGGTCATTTCGGCAGTCATCGCAGCTTTCTTTTGCTTCCGGGTAGGCCGTAAGCAAGAAACGCCGCGGAAAATTAGCTCCACCGACTCCAAGGCCCAGTCGTTGTGCGACACCGTTAGTAGTCGGAGTCGGCGCTCAATTCAAGTTCTGGACTTGAACGCGACAATAATGTCTACGTTATTGGCGGAGTCGAATTTGTGATCAAGCGTCAACTTACACTGAACAACATCCCAACTTGAAGTCGGAATCTATCGTGGTCGAAAATGCGCCTGGAATCTCCGCGTGCTTATGTAAGCACTTTCTGCGTCAATTTTCTTGTCTTGTCAAAACTCATTCTTCTCGCAGGTGTTTGCGCCAGACGCGTGGTGGCGTTTTCCAACTGCTGAGATGGGGTTGTCCTGATTCCTTCTGTCGCGTGCGCTAGCGATACGCTGGAGGTGAGTTTTCAACACCATTGTTCTATTCCCGTCTCTCAACACTTACTTTCAGTATCAACAATCAAGCTGCTTATGCTCGGGCTCACTTCTCCTTCTGGCCTGCAGGAATTTACAGCTCTACCGCCGCGTTATCAACTAGAGGAATAAAATAGTCGCGCTACTTGGACGACCGTGGAAACCATGACCTATGATCAGGTCAGTGCATCCTTTGCTCTGCAATGACACTCGCTGACCTTTCTCAGTTCCACCCTCGAGGGTAAGATTTGATGGGCAACCCGCAACCCGCAACCCGCGACCCGCGACCCGCGACCCGCTACCCGCTAGCCTGGGTTAGTACCCGTGGGAGCACACGTGTGATTTCATCAAACCACGCCTTCGTCTTCTTCCCCACCGTCAAGTGTCGTACACAGCGGCCAAGGTTCTCCCTGTCGTGCAACCACTGCGCAGCGTCGTACACTACACAGTCATCTCAATCTGTGTCTCTCGTCTTCACCCGTCGTCACCACCCTCGCAACCTATAGGACACATGCATCGTGTTTTTTTCTATCTGTGACAGTACCCTGCATGATCCCTTTGTCTGTCTGCCTTCGGGCGTTGGCAGGGTTCTCGCTGCCCGCACAAAGAAGACAGTTGGGAGACAGTCTCTTTGTGCAAAACATTCTTAAACTCCCAGCGCACTCTATCGCTCCCTAACCAACCACTATCATCCCAACCACCCACCGAACCAACTCAACGCCTTGCTAAGCAATGCCTCCAACGACGTTTCGTGTCTCCTTTCACCGAAATACCGGATACTCCCCATACCATGCTCGTTGTACATGTGCACAGTGCGTTTTTGACTTGCTCATTTGTTCGTTGCTCATCCCCGCTGTTAGAATTTAAGCTAGACGTACCCTTTGACCCCATGGAAGGCTGGATCTACTTTATTGGCTGCATGGGCCTTCTCGCCTTCCTTTTCACCAACAATTATTTCCGTGCCTTTGCAGTCATCGTTATGGGACGCTTTTTCTATCTCACGTACCACGGTGAATTCGATTCATACGAGTAATCTCTTGTCCACTACTCTTACCTTCTGCTTGTATCACTTCCACTTGGACAATCTATGCCTTTCTTTCCAATCAAGACTTGATTTTGCTACCTGGCGGCGCTCTTACTGATTGTCCGACGCGTTTTTGCGTGGAGACTGGGCAGCATATAGCGGGCCGCATGTATCTACCTATTTCTCGCCTCAGATTGCATCCAGCTCTGAACTTGAGCTCAAAGTCGCGTCGCGAGCGGGTCCGACACGTACTCGCGCAATCCTCGTCGACATTGACCAGCACGTGCTATCCCATCAAACCTCATCTTCTCCTTCCACCACCTCCGTCAGGCGTCCTATGCTGTAGAGGCTTTGCGATCTTGCAACCGCTGTGCAGCGTCGTGACGGTGCTCAGCTCTGTCAGTCCCAAGTCTCAATGCTCGTCGCTCATCGGCCATTTCAAAAAAACCAACTCGAAGCACAGGCTCACCACTCTTTTCAATCCTCTGTTTTCTGTGTCGTCTGCCTATGGGCTGTCGGTTTGTATCTCTACTTGATTTCAGTGCTCAAAATCAATAGAACGATTGCACTTCAAAACACCACCAATGTCTCTACTGATTTTGTTTAGGAAGCACCGTGGCCAAGTTCGCTGGGGGAATGTCCACAGGCCACTTCGTGCAAGGATGCTCAGTACGTCTAAGCTCGTTTCTGGGCAATAACGAAATCCATCGTCTTCAATGTTTACATCGTATCGGTGGTTGCGATAACATGTGACGGTGGTTATTGTTGCGCTAGACCAGACGAAGGGAGAGTGGACGGCATGGATTACCGAGCGCGTGTGAAACGAATACGGCTACAAGACACCCAGCGCAATGTCTCAATTGTACGCAAAGCCGCCTCATGTCGTTCAAAGTGCGAAGAGAGGCGGTTCTCATAGGGAAGACATCGAAATACAGTGTCTGATATTAGTGATGGCAGCTTGCGCAAAACCTACCAATATACAGACAGACTGGTGATAAGTCAAAGCATTCGGGCCAATCCTTCGCGTACCCAGAGATTTCAGAAGTTGAGCAGCACGCTTTGGGGCCATTGAGTGACAGCGGTCAGCCTGGGTTAAGACATGATTTTTGACGCCGACCTCGAGTCCTACGAACAGCTGGGCTAGGCCGCTGTATGCAACTGGCACCAGCACCATGAAGGGGGACACACCAGCAAACCCCGCAAAACAGGTGGCCTGGAATTGATATTTTATTTGTAATATCTTAGTACAGCTGGTGCGTAATGGGCACAATAAGAATCGCTAGCTCATCTTCCCTGCGCTCCCCACCAAACTTTCCTGTTCCAACTCGTCCTTTTCCAACGCGCATACTAAACCCTCCTTCCCCATTCTCCATCTCGCTTTCGAGTTTGAACACGTCCCTTTTCCATTACGCGTGGATTAAGACCGTACTATCCATCTCCACCTTTCACCCTTCTTTGATGCTCGGAACTTACACCCATCGCTCGATCAGGCTCAGACAGTCATGGCGGCGCAGCAGACCCAATATCGAGGATCTGAATGCGGAGGTCCAAGAAGCTAAGTTGATGATTGAAATGTGATTCTGCACGTCCGAGAAAGTCAACTCCGCTTCACGCCAGGCTACCCAACTAAATCTACGCCCGACGTCGAGGACATATCAGCATGGACATGCTGAAGAATAGCGGCACGGCAGGGGCCGAGCTTCCTCTAAATCCTGCTCCCATTCCCGAATCTGCGCCGACTCCGATTTCTAAGGGAGCTACTGGTCCGGCCAGCAACATATCGGCGCTGCTTAATGTCGCTAATACACTTGATGTCGATGTCGACGGTATTCTGAGGATTGTCGAGCAGCTCTCGTTGGACAAGGCGTTCGGACCTCTCGCACTCCCGCGTCATCCGAAAACGTCAAGCGGTTTGCGGAAGAGCCAGAAGATGAGCCGAGTATCGTCATGTCAATTGGTCTTGCTCAGTGGGACTTCGGGCCAGGGTAGTACTTGCATTCGGCTTGGAATGTTCAGATGCAGAGAATTAAGAATGACGCGATTGCCGATGACGCTGAGGGAGCCAATTGCGTTGGCAAGGAATTGATTCAACGCCAGTTTCTGAGCTTCTCTTGCGCGAGCAGCTCGAGAGGATCGGAGGTGATTGGAATTTGTTTCAACACAAGCGCGACTTCGGGCTCAAGTTGTTCTCACAGAACGCCGATTGCGTTCCAAGAGGGTTAACGGCCAGAACAGAGTATGTGCCTAATAATTTCAGAGGAGTTCCTTGCTGACGTGAAAGCATGTAGACATACCAGCGGCGTTTTGCAACAGAAGAGGAAGATGGAGCCAACGGTCTGGAAACGTGAAGATTACTGAAGAAACTGGGACAGGAAAACGGGACTTGTTTGTCGAGGAGCAGGAGACGAAGATATTCGTCATCAAACTCTGGATTCGGCGTGAGCCCTCCGTGGCTAATTTGATGCAGATTATCGACAACGAGATGTCTCGAATTGAAGATATTCATGCAGGGACTTCCACGCGTCCCACGCGCTCGCGGCAAGGATTACGGGACGTGGCAACCTCCCAAGGGACTACCAAAGTGTCTGTATGACCAGCGTTGGCTTCAGTCTTGCACTGTCAAGCAATTGAGAGAGCTTGAAGATTCCCCAGAAACCTTCGGCGTTGTTTGTCGCGGCAACTGATCGTATGACTTGAATTATCAGTTACTTGATACTCTTGGAAGATAAACGAAGTGATTTACGGATAGCGGGTAGTGAGAGCGAGTGACTGAGCTCCAAAAATGGTTTGAGGCAGTAAGAGCTCAGCAGCGAAGACGATTGTGTCACGGTTGACTCCAGTTCCAGGCCATCGCAGATTATGCTAAGGGACTCGGAGTTTAAGACTGTGCCGCTGTATGCAGCTGGCTCCAGTCTTATGGATCTTGAAGGTTCAAGTCAAGTTCAGGTATCGCCGTCGGCGTCACTCGTGTCACGGCCATGATGTGACACGCCGCGCCGACATTCTTTTCCCAAACTTCAAGGACGTCGATCCACTCTCGCATCCACCACACCGGAGTTCTCAAACGCATACGTTGAGCCTCTGACAGCAAACGATCCGTACCGCCCACCTCTCAATGTCCGTTCACCTTGTTGTCGGCTGACCTGCGCTAACGAACATCCAGACTTCAACTCCGACAGAATAGCGACCAAGAACTCTGCAGACCTAGACGCATACGTCAGGCTGCTCCTTCATCAAGCTCACAGGTTGTTTGCCGCCACTGCTTCCACGATCTCGCCGGGTGTGTACCGCCAACGCCTCCGACCGTCGAAATCATGGCTCCGTCATTACGGCTTGTCCCGCTCAGCTCACTAGACGAACGTGAGCGACAACAAGTGAGTGTCCGACAGCTTGATATCTCCCAGATTTTCTCACCAGTGCATCTAGGCAAGCTACCACGAATCCAGTGCTTTCACCGGCCTCTTTCGCCATGACGGTGCTGCCTTCGTCGCATTCAACGGGGACAGGAATTTCATGCAAAACATCCCCTCCCCGAAACACTCTTCCATGCCGAAATCAGCAAAGACCATGATGGGGGAGATTCATTGCACCAGCTGGGCAAACCTCAATATGCCCCATCTCCTTCTCCTACCTCGTTATCATATCTTCAAGGGTCCACTATTCGAATGTCTTGATGTCAACAGGCGCATCCTTCCTTCACAACGCGTCAGTATCCCTGTATACTCCAACAAGACCTGGGAGCGTGTACGGCTCCCCGAGAAAACCACTGATCAATGGCTTAAACTCGAGGGGTTTCTGCTGAATGTCTTCCGGTGGGTAGACTCGAAACATCGCCAACTATGTCCTGGTGAATATCGAGGCATCATTCATAACTTCCCAATCTGTTTCGGCTACTCAAAAACCTACGACTCTTTAGAGGAGTTGACTCAAGCTGTTGCCAACTCTCGACGCCTTTCTTCCCCTTCTTGCTGGCATCTCGATTAGAATGCTTGCCCTCGATGGATTTGAACGATCAGATGCCTTTGACGCGACGAAACAACCAAAATGGCGTGAAACCTTGTTTCAAGCAGTCAACTTGGAACCTCAACTGTGGGATGCTTTGGAAGATGCTGTAACGGAATGTGTCTCCGCGCCAGTGGGCGGCATAATAGATCTTACGACTTCTCTGGCCGAATTCACTCGAATAGACTGGTTCTTTACGCTCATCCTCAAATTCAAGCTCTCCGTGCCATTGTACTTCAAACTTGGCACTACAAGCGGTCTCCAATTCAGCAATCTGCCTTCCATTCGTGCATATCGTCTCGAGATTTACCATGGCGATTTAGATCAATTTCGTGCGTTACCAGAGCCCAATCCCACTGTCGAATGGGTTTTCATCGACTCCACAATTCGCCTGTTCGGTGTTCTTCCTAATCCGGACTACCGTCCTGAAGCTCCACAAGCTCCTCTATTACGTTGCACAATTCGTGCAGATCCTCCCTTGCCTCCTCCTGTTCCGCAAGCTGTCCCTGTTGATCCCGGTAGCGGTCAACGCCAGGGAGAAACCATTGTAGACTTCCTCGCACGCCGTCAACGTGCCAACGAGCGCACAGAGGCACGCGAAAGCCCAGAGAAGAAGAAAAGCCGCCTTCAACGAGAGGCCCATGCTGCGGGCGGTGGGCCACCAGGTAGAAATGCGTCTGCACGAGTTTTTATCTGGGAAGATACAAACAACGATGAAGTTTTCATTCGCCGCCCAATCAACCGCGATTTCGCAATTGACTCGTGGGATACATTCTCTCCAAATCAACGGATCTATGATAGCTTTTCCAATCAGTGGGATCTTTGCCCCCAAATTCCAGCTAGCGAGGACCCGGCATGTTTCCAAGATGGGTACTGGGACTACTTGGGCGGTGGGAATGAGGACACCGAAATGGCCGAAGCCCCATCAAGTTCCAACGCTGTTGAGGAGGCTCAATCCCAAAGCAACGACGACGGCTTTCCTAATCTCCCTCAGGGGCTTCCTACCCGCATTGTTGCTCTACTCAGTAATGGGAATGCCGCGCTTGATAATATTGCTGAATATTATGCAGCCGACAAGTCCAAGCCAACAAGTCCGGACCGCATCACTCTGCAAGGCGGCCCAGTTACCAAGGACTTCGCTACATCCATGCTTCAAATTCGCTTTGGTTACACAGACCACGATGGCTCCTATGCCAATAAGACGACCGAAAAAACAGCGCTCAACGCTCTAGGGGATGATTTGGCTGGGTCTCCAAAAGAAGGTGTTAGGGCATTACTTGAGTCTATTCGCACCCAGAAGTCCTTGAGGACCATCCAACCAGAGCTCATGGATTTGTTATCGGAGCCAGACCTACTTTGGCAGAATCGTTGTGTCGATGTGCAGTACTTCTTCCAAGTCAAGGCAGAACTATACGAGACGCATGTCTTCATAATCAAGATGCGCAGCGGAGACCCTCGGAGAATTATACTCTTCAATGCGAGCTCTGTCCTCCATATCCTAAGGATGCAATTCTCATCCTTCGAAGAGATCGCCGAGGAGTTTGGTTTGCTTGGGACTGAGTTTTATGCTGGTATTGAAGGACCCACCCACCAAATCCAGCCTGCGATGCCAAGGTGCTTTCGTCTGGGATTTCGCCGCCAATCCTATCGCCCGACGAGAGTGGATTTTGATGCCTATGTCACGCTGCGCGATCGATTTCTGCATTCTCCGCGGGGTGTGCTGGCCCTTCAAGCAGGCGGTATCATTGCTCGCATTGCTCGACTCGTCATCAGTGAACCTCTGGACGGTTTGCTCCTGGATGATGCTGATAGTCGGTCTGCTGGGGCCAGAGTCCGCGATCGAGATGGCGTGGCACGTCCTGTATATTACCAGCGTTTGACTCAGCAAGAAGAGGATCTTATCTGTGGTGTTTATTCTGTCCAACTTTCCAGTGCGTTTCTAGTCCCATCTTGATTCTTTTCTCACTTAGGTTATAGATCAGGTTGATAATGTGGTGGGCAAGCATATGGTTGCACGGGTTTCCTGGTGGCCGCAACAAAGCGCCTTCTTCAATTCTGGTCTGCATGTTGGCTGGTGGTCTCCTAACTGTGAGCGTTGGTTCACGGAGCGGCTTGCAGTGATGGAAGCATACAAAGTGGAAGAGTTGTGGACTCAGACAACATGGAAATCCAAAATTCGATTTTTCCCCACGTCGCTGCGTACCACTCATGCTCTAGATACAGTTAGCCGAGAGTATCTGCACCGTTACATCTCATTGTAGTGTATTTGTTGTGCTCGTAGGACTTTTTGACACGTCTGAATGTATCGTTTCCTTGCCGCCGATCGGCCGATAGGTATTTAGGTCCCTGATCTTCGCCATATTAGGCGCCGATTCTCCGTGTGATTTTGTACCAATTTTCAACCCAAATCATTCAGTGATTCACACTTTTAGGCTTTCTCAGGCTCCAGATCAGACTCGACTTCATCAACGCACTCCTACTGGTGCCAGCTGCATACAGCGGCCCAGTCTCTAGTACTCGGCACAACTCCTATCGGCGAGCACGACTCCAAATATTCGTTGTCCAATCAAGGTACGTGGTCGTCCTCTTTCACTGCCATATGCTCATCGTTTGAAGCGCCTATTTGGATCAACTCAGCCAAACGTCAGTGCCGGCGTATCCCACCCGACCCGCCCTAGCTGGGCCTAGGATGGAGCACCAGCCAGAAACAGCACTCCAAGTTTTGTTGGGGGAGCGGGGCATTACCTTCAGACACTGGCTCACCAGTCGGTTGCTCAACCCCCGAATAACCGAAAAGCTCCCAGAACATCTTGACCCAGAAGGGGCCTTGCGCCTCATCAAGGCTTTTGAAGCGTCTAGGGTCTTTTCATCAGCCTGGACGGATATCTCCAAGTACGTCCTCCACCGGCAAGACGAAGACCGATTATTGGTCGCCCACAATGGCAAAAAAACATCGCCTGCCTTTTCATCACGTCACCCTCGCTGGGCTCATCCTCGACGTTCAGCTCGAATTTGGAGGTTCTCGGTGCAACATCGATCTGGGAGAAACCGCAGAGCACTACTTGGATGACCGCAAGCAACCCAAATTGGAACAGATATTAGGTCCACCGCTGAGTTCGAGCATTGATTCCCTCGTAGATCGGCTGAGTCATGTTCGTACAATCTGCCTTTCATATCTACTTGTGCGCTGATGAGACTTGGTAGATTGGCTATTCTCTTCTAGATATTGCGAGAGGAGCAATGGACTCCTTTGACCGCGTCGAACAGGCAATCGTACAAAAGTCGAAGAATATAAAAACCGCTCATGTAAAAAGCGCCGAATTTCAAAACCCTACCGACCACAGTCAAATCAACTCACTGCACTTCCTCCGAGCCTTAGAGGCGCCGCCCAAGGCAAAAGGTGCTCAACGGACCATCAATGGCGTCTTTTTAGTCTTCGCATATTATGTCATAAGCGAGGTGAGCGGGTCTGTTAACTTTCTCGATGCGTCTGATTTCGCTCAGGGAACAAACTTGCTGGATCGAGACGGTGTCCAAGCCAGCCTGGTCAAGTTTCACAACAGACTTGGCATGCCTGTTCCAAAAGATTGGAGTATTTCCCGTATTCATGACGGCTTTTCAGGCCCGCTATCACTAGCGCTGGGTTCAACCATCTTAATCATCTTAAATGACGACCGTGATCTCACTGGTAGTCATACGAGTCTTACTACGGATGCCGCAACATTTGATGTGTGTCTTCATGCTCATTTAACCTGTTTCCATTGACTTCATTTTACAGTTGCAGAGAATAGTACAGTACCGCAGCTCCCCCAATTCCCTCCTATGGAAGCTGGAAGACGTTGTGTGGAAGCTAGTGTTTGCCTCAGCGGCAGGAGAGTTTCATCCGGCCTTGCTTTTTCACAAGCTCAAGGCCTCCCAACACTTCCAACACCTCAAAGGGTTGTGCCAGTGGCTCATGGACCCAATTGGATTCCAACTGCTATGGCAATGGAGTGGTATTCCCTGGAAATTATGGAGGATAACGACCATCGTTAGTGGCTCCTTCAACTCTTAGCTTGATTATTGACTTGCTAAGTAGCGTCCAACCAATCAATATCCATGTCCAACGAGGAGTTACGAGCCAAGCGCCTTAGAGAAGAAGATGAAGGTAGCGATTACATTGAACATCCGGCAAAGCGTCTTGACAACAGAGACACCCCATCACACGTTTGTCTTACCCATCGCACAAATTCAGGAAACTAACTAGAGAAGCATGCAAATACGGGACCGCCCCTTTCTCATATCCCTGACCAAGATGCGAACATGGGACCGGCTCCTCCCAATTCCCTTGACCAAATTCTTGACCAGGAACAGCAGTTCGCCGCCGCCGTCGCCGACGATGATGCGAAGCCTAGGAAGCCCAAGTCGAAGGATACAAAACCGAAGAAATCCAAGCCCGACCTCAAGCCTAGAAAACTAAAATCAAGCCAAGCAAAGCGGGGTAGTAACCACCCGAATTCCGTGACCAAGCTGAAGCCAGTGGAGGTTGCCGGCTTCCGTTTTCCCGAATTATCCACACCAGTTTCAGCAAAACCAGCCTGCTGCCCTTTTTGCGGTTTATGCCCGCTCACCGCTAGGCAACGACGCCCCAACCGCAGCGAAAGCCTACGAGCAGCGCCAAGTCACTGGTGGACTTTCGGACTTGGGGGATTTACCGGAATGGAACGCAAGACGTTGTGCTGTGCAGCTCCAGAAATGCAGAATGAGTGCCCTACTGCGCCTCTGGAAGATTGCCCAAACCAAATACAAACGCGTCTTTAAACCTCTAAAGTGGAGTCGATTTACCCATATGCATCCAGAGCGTCGTTATCATCGCGCAGCGCGAGTTGCAGCAAGGAAGCGGGTGATTATGTTGTTTCACCGGATTGAAACTCTTGAGCGCCAGATAGAGGAGGAGGAGGAAGTGCTTGAATTCGCACCGGCAAGTATTAGACTAAGCTCAAGGAATACCCTAGCTCTGACCTATTGTCAGAGAGAACCCTTGCAATCTTGTGTAAAGATTCAGTTGCAGAGGCCTAACGTTATGGGCCACTTCGGACCTGATAACAGTGCTGAGTATGACTGGTATGGGTATAGCCTTGAGGTGCGTTAGATTGCAAATATCCTCTCTCGCGCGGTACTAATGGACAGCCTAGGAAGCAGAGGTGATGAAAAAGTTGGTGGAAGATACTCCTTACGGGACAGACGTCGATGGAGTCAAAAAACCATTACATCTCTTAGCGTCTGCTCGCAGTCCAACTTTATCCAACGACCCGCGGCGCTCCGAGTTTTTTGTCATCTCTTATGATGACTTTATGCAACGCGATGACAAGTTCCTACTTGATATCATGGGTCAAAGATCCTTTCTCGTTGTTGATTATCCCGCCAGCCCGGCAGAATTCACAACATTACTTGGGAAGCTGCGTCATCTAGATGCATGCGTCTCTATTCAAGGTTCTTCACCCATAATAATTCTCCCCCTGCAACTGACTCACACTGGTAGATAACGTTTATGTGCAAGATGGGCACCGCGGTGTCTTCACCGACTCCTTAAGAAGACTCATTCCTGACAAGACATTCCGCGATGGGAAACCAATGTGTAACGCTCTTTCCAATTCTATGGGTCACCACAATGTGCTGCGTCCCGCAAAAATCAGGTGAGGACGCCCTCACTTTTGATGATTATGCTGAAGCTACTTGCAGTGCACTGAGCAGTCAAGTCGACGCAATAGTCCACACAAGCGATATCCCTGGGCTACCAGAAGTAGACATTCCACGGAAGCACCTGCAATGGTTTGTTGCCGGTAACGCTGGTGTCAAAAGCGATCAACACGTAGATATAATGGGAACTACTTACGTCCATGTGGAGACTGGGCAAAAGTTCTGGGCAGTTGCCAACGATGTCTGTCCACTGAAAGACAAGCCTGAGGAGGATGGGGAAGTTGAGGATCCAAACCCAAGTGCGCAAAGTGGTGGTCCCGACTTTTTTACCACGCCTGGTCCCCTTTCCAGCTGAATAGCCACCAATACAGAATGGAGTTTATTGTATTGGAACCCAGTAGCTTTATGTGAGTCTATCCTTCTTGAACAGTTCAAGTCTTATTTATGTTGCAGAATCTTGCGGCCCTTTCTCCCGCACTATGTTGTGGGGGGCAAATATGACACTATCGTCACAGGAAGTCATGACTTCCCGATTAGTTGCGCTGCGAGGAGTGTTGCAGCCGAACTGCACCACATCTTTTCTATGTCATTCGAACAAACATTGAGCATTCGGAGGCTAGCTGGATTCTATGCCGCCTTCTGATACGGCAACTGGATGCCATTCTACGGGCAGACATTGATCACTCCGATATTCTCGATCTCAAGGACCCTGTTGCTTTAGAAAATCTTATGGTGCTATTGGCATACAACGTGGTCATGCCAGCCCTAGATCGCAAAGCATACAGGATCTCATCTGATGACTTGGTGCTACCTATGTATGTTGAACGATTCCAAGAGTTGGACTATGTTTGGCAGAGAATATGGGATTTTCAACGGCTGGTTGATAGTACTCCAGGCCTCATAACTCTCCATCCTGCAGTAAATTCTTTCAAGCAGACTTTGCATGTATGTTATCAGTCACCTCATTTGATGTCTGATAACCTAGCCTTATCCAGCATATTACTATCCACATGGCAGGTTTCTGTCTTCGCTATCGAGAGGACCCTCCAAGAGGCGATCTTGACTTTGGCGACTCACAGCTGAAAGACTGGAGACGTATTTGGGTAGGCTGATGACTGCATTCACAGCTGTTGGAGAAGGCAGACCGCTCAAGAGTTATGTCTACCGTGGGAAGTCTCCGTTAGAGCAGCAGTTTTACAGCAGCATAAGGAATTCGGAGCGAAGATTTCTGAAATTAATACGTTGGCGTCGACCGATTGGAGATGGAGATTTGGCCCCACTGATAACCTTTAACCGCATGCCCAATGCACAGGATATCGCTTCCCAAGCGCCTTTTTCATGGCCAGCAACACTCGATGTAACCTCCGACAGCAATAGCGAGGATGCCGCTTCAGATTATCAGGACGAGTAGTAAAGGGTAGCTGCGTTGTATAGTGTAGATCAATCATGATTGAGATATAATAAATATTATCACTGTAATCAACGTTGTAGTGGGCAAGGATTCGATAGATGAGCAATAACTAGCGGAAATAAAACCCGTCTTCGACACTTCCTCTCTTCGCTTTCCTCTTGGATTTGTCTGCAATCTCAATGTCTTACCAAACCTGGGGGGTTGGGCTCAGGCGTTCGACTAAGATATGCGTCAGAACTACAAGGGGTCGAAAGTGTGTCAAATTCGCTTGGACCAATCTCGGGTGTAGGACTGCGGGGCGTAAGTCTGCCAAGTTCGATAGGGTCAAAAACCCGGTCGGGGGAAGGACTGTAGGCGATGTCGAGGAGGGGTCGGGGAGGGAAGGAGTCGGGGCCAAGGGTGTTGGTGCTTGGCCCCGTCTCATCGTTCTGGTCGGGCTGCCTTGCGGCCCTGGACTCCAATATTGCTGCACACTGGGAGAAACTTCCCTAAAGTAACCGATGCAAGTTAGCGGAAGAGAGCGACAGACAAATAGTCAACTTACTCATCATCAGTGAACAATGCATCCAATACGCCATGAATAGATAGGTCGGTTAAGAAGCTTGTGAAAGTAGTATTCGCGACAGCGCATGCACAACGGCGCCGTGCACCAATCAGGGTCCACTTCGCCGCCATCGATTGTCCTTACGGGGTCGGCGGTGACTTGTTTGAGCTTCACTCTTCTGAGCTGCGGTTCAATCCCTTGCAGTAGACCCCCATAGCCTCGGCGACATTTCTTTCCAATCGAGCAAACGAAAGAAGAGTGTCGTTCGAGCGTCCTGGGGCTATTGCCTTCCTCCCCTGCATCACCCCCTCACGCTTCCATCATCTTCCTCTCCTTCACCATCCCCAAAGTTTCCTTGATCGTCGTCACCGATGTCAACCACCACCTTCTTCCTAAAAAATGAACAGAACATTGGCAACAGGAAACAGACGCACTTGAATGGTGCAGGACTGATGATTCTGCCTTCCTTCTTTCCTTGACTGCGACTCTGACTGGTGATTTTGAGGGGCAGTAATGGTTCAATATCACTTTCTTCCTCAGAGTCGATAATTACTGGGAGTTCCCTTCGCTTGAGCTTACGTGATCGGTTTGCAGCGGCAGCAGCGCCGCGAGGTAACTTCCTTGAGTAGAAGGATGAGCAATGGATAATCAAGAGATAAAGAACACGCACCATCGGATGTCCATCCGTTTGTACCCTTGCAACAGGGTAGGAGTGCTTTTTGAAGCATGATTCTCGTTCAGTTCCCGACCCCTCCTTTTGCCACCTGGGTCCTCATTCTTCATTCGCTTTCGCTTCGGAGGCATATTGAGATACAGTGGGTGAGAGGCTCGGCGTATGCGCCTGAGACCTCTATCTGCCGTTCCTGTGGTCGGTGTGAGAGGTCGATGTGACGACTGACGCTCAGCTAATGTGACGACACGCGTCTGCCGATCCTCCATGTACAGTGGCACACACAACAAGATTGTAAAGGTTCCGGCGGCATACAACTCTTTACGCATCGCCTTGTGCATCGCTTACGACTGCCCGGTCTATCTTGGAACTCAGTCTGAACAAGCTTAAAAACAGGCTTTTCGCAGCTTTTCGCACGTGACGAAATGACAATTGCGGAACTTTGAAGTCTTTCAATCCCTCTTTCTCATTGACGACGACCCTGGGACAAAGAAGGGCTGCGCTACCAAAGGTTTGTGGCTCCTCGAAAGCTCTGCTTCAGTGTTCCCGCTTGATCACATACTTTTTCTTCGCAAGGTGTACCACAAAGAAGCTCAAAACGTTTCCTGTTCCTCCTTCCTGAAGATGCTTTCAACTGGGCTGGGAACAATGAACTCATTATTCGTTGCTTCAAGCCGGGAACGCGACTGCTTAACTCAACCTGAACGCGATTGCGATGACGAAAAGCCAATGAGTGAATGTGATTCAGAA